TTTGGCATATAGGTAAACACTCAAGACTTCAGAGGTATTGTTCGGGAAGATGCTGTTTTGTATCTCCTAGAAATTCCCAAAGGTGAAATAGTGACAATTTTGGCTCAAAGCAAATATGAAGGTAGGTGCTTTGAACAAAATATATGTGTATTTATGAAGCTTTTAAACTCTACTTTGTAGGTGAAACCACAAATAATCTCTCTTGTGCTTGTTCTTGATAGCATTTTAGTTACCCTCCTTTTCACAAGTTTAGAACATAGCTGTATTCCATGCCAGGAGGGTCATACAGCTGTGCATGTGATGTGTTTTTCAAAGCATTTCTCCCTCTCTTGCATTATTTGCAAATAGTATCTCCTAATCCTGAAGAGTGGCAAAATACTGGTTTTTTTCTTCTGCTTTTCTGTCTGTAGCAGCTGGCAGAAGATATACTGATACCATTCCTTTTCTGCTGTGCCTTGGGATTCAGTCAGCAGCAAATGGACAGTTTTATTGAAGAACAGTTAAGAAGCAAGCAAAGCCTCTTGCTTTCCTGTTGGAGGCACAGCCTGCTGTAATACTGCAGTATCATAGCTGCCTTTTGCATTGGCAGTGTGCTATGTGCCTCCTCTCCCCAGAGCTGTAAGGGCTGTACACATACAAGTATGGAATGCTCTTGATAAAATGTGTGTAAGGCAACGACTGTCAAGTCTGGGTTTTTTACATCTTTCTGAGTGGAGGGGTGGAATTCCAAAACTGTTAAGTTGAATCACAACTTAATCTTTCAAGTGTGAAAAAAATATAAACTAAAAGGGAGGTCCTGTTTTAGTCTACAGAGACATCATGGCCTGTGGCAGAGGAGATTCATTCTTCATCAGGAGTCACTTCGAGTGTGAAAAAGAATCACCACAGAGCTTAGCATTCACCAGAGGGGAGATCTTTAGAGTAGTTGATACGCTGTATGATGGCAAACTGGGAAACTGGCTGGCTGTGAGAATTGGAAATGAACTGGAAAAGGGCCTTATTCCAAATAAGAGCAGGTAAGGTGACAGCCTGTCTTCCTGCCCATTGAAAAATAACTTCTTCCCAGAGTTATTTTTCCTTCCTATGTCATACCTTTCTTCCTTTTTATTCCCCCTTATAAGAATGAATAAATTGTTTTGTCTTTACTTTTGCAAGAGTTATGATTGTAGAAACTGTAGATTTTAGAACCATGGTATTATACAAGGAGGCTATGAGAGAATGGTGTTACCTACATACTAGATCATGTATTTGCAGCACAGACCTAGAGCTCTGTCTCAGTAGTCCACCAAACCCTTAGCTGCTTTAGTTCCTCTTCCAGAGAATGGGTCACAGATCCTGTTTTTCCATTTTTTGGCCTTTTCCCCCCTGCTTCTCTGTTCACCCTATACCAAACCAAATTGAATGAAACCAAAAAGACCCAGTCAGAAAACCCTAACCTTTGGAAGCTCATTACCAGAATACTCTGGTGGCATCTTCTGAAAGAACTTCAGCACTTAAATTTCTCTTGTATATCCTTACGGAAAGTGTTTCAAGAATTTACTCTGAGGCTAATATTTTTGGTACTTGTATTCTGCTCTCCTAGTTAAAATGCATGAGAGGTAATAATAAGCATTCAAATGTGCATACTGAGTAAAAGTACTAAAATTAATCAGAAAAAAGGTATTTTTAGACTGTAGCTTTTAAATTCGTGAGAATGGTTGTGATTTTATGCTGGAGGAAAAAGCTCACAATTGCATTGTATATGCAAGTTCATGAAATATGCTGCTTATGTGATTCCCCTCTCTCTTTCTTGGTTAATAAATTCTCACCTCTATTGATCTGATCAGGCCAGTCTTTGTTTCTATGCTGTAGCAACTTAGAAGCCATAATAGAGAAGAGAATACTGACAGTAATTTCTTATGCCTTTAGTTCTGCGTTGCACTCTCTCACCACCTCTTTGCAGTCGCATTCTTTTATTTATGCTTGTGTGAGTTAAGAGTTTAAGACCTCAGGACTCCTTACTGCCCAGCAGCTTATAGATGTGGCAAGTTGGAGCATCGTTCTGACATTGTGTTTGCTCCAAGGCAAGGACATCTGGGCCTACCTATTTTTCCCTCCACTTGTGCCTGTCTGTCTGGCAAATTGCCTGATGTAAATTCAAAATCCATCCTTCTTCAGTGAAAAATACCTTTGCCCTTTTTGACTAGTTCTGTGAAAATGAACTCTGTGCTTTCTCTGTCAGAGCTGAACAGATGGCCAGTGTTCAAAATTCCCAAAAAGATGGCTCCAGTGATAGAGCAGACTTCTGGAGAACACGTGGCCAGCGA